CTTGGTAACTATGTGTATGGCATGGTAACTTGACTTGGTAGCCTTGTGTATGACTTGGTAACCTTGTGTATGGCATGGTAACTTGACTTGGTAGCCTTGTGTATGACTTGGTAACCTTGTGTATGGCATGGTAACTTGACTTGGTAACCTTGGGTATGACTTGGTAACTTTGTGTATGGCATGGTAACTTGACTTGGTAACCTTGGGTATGACTTAGTAACTTTGTGTATGGCATGGTAACTTGACTTGGTAACCTTGTGTATGGCATGGTAACTTGACTTGGTAACCTTCTGTATGACACGACAACTTGTGTAGTGCAAACCAGAAACATTAAACGATTTATGTCAGTAATGATAAATTATCAAAATGTTGTAAAACAAACTGTTGTTGTTGCAGACAAATCATAAACTGTTCTAATCATATCAATTATTCAGTTTTCCTGATGTACAAAATATCAAATTTTTCAGCTGTGTTTCTTTTTTAATGCTCTTAGCAACAAAATGGGAGTTTTAAAAAACGTATACTTCACTCTTTTAAACATTTCTCATCAGGTTTAAAGTGATCTTAAAAGAGATCTCAGTGACCTCTCCAAAAATACATATTTTCTTAAAAATTCTTATTTATAATTTACTATGGCTGCTCTCTCGAAACTAACACAATCCTTGGGTACATTTAAAAGTTTGTCATAAAAAATTAGTGAAATAAAAGTTTCAGTGTTTATCACACATATATAAAAACAAAAGATTAAGGGAAGTAAAAAAACTTAAGTAGACAACCTCCATTCTAACCTTCAGTCTGCTAAACAGTTTTTTGAAATTCTGACCTTGTACAAAACACTGAATTAAACATTTAAAAATACAATATCCCCCCCCATATCTATAGACAAACTTATTTAAACATTTAAAAATTAGTGTTTATATAAAAACATTAACCTTGTCACGGAATGGTAGAAATCTTATTTTCAGTTGTAATAAACAGTAAAAATCTGTAAACTACTACTTTTTTTTTGCTGGAAATCAGAAAAACAAATCAAAATTTGTGAGATTCTGAAAAACCATGTACCTGATTTCAAAATCCAACAGTCACAAAGATTAAAATTATGGCAACATCTAAGAATCATTATAAACATTAATATAACTACTTACTATCGCAACATCCATATCTTCATCATCTATATAAAGAGGACTGTGTTCTAGATGGTCTATTACTAGTCCTAAGACTGACCCCAGGCTGTTAAGATGACCCTGAAAAATTTGGTGTCAAACACACTTAATCATTCAGTAAGAAAACATTGTACATTTTTTTTGTTTCTGTAGAAACATCCCATAATAATCAAGAAACAAATGTTGACGAAAAAAATATTGCATTCACTTAGTATTTTATAAATCTGTTAAGAAATTGATAAATACTTCAATTTGCTTTTTTTGAGCATTAACTATTATTCTTATCATTTGTTTCTGAAAAAAGCTTAAAACTTAGTAACATAGGAGTAACAATGGTATACCATAGTTTAAGAGTCAGCAGTGAAAAATTACAGCCACTGAATGAACACTGCTATCTCACGTAAGCCAAAATCTGTTCACTCCTACCTCATGTGGCAAGCTAGTGCACAGGAGGTAACAGCAAAAAAGAAATGTTTATATGACACTGAACATGAAACCAATTAACAAACTTACCTAATTTAGAATCCTCCATTGTACAAAAAGAAATTTGAATATCTTTCTATTTGAAATATTACGAGATATGACATGTAGTAAAAAACAACAAGAAGGAGTTAATGAAAGCTATTTTCTTTATGAAACATGCGAACAAGAGCAGAAAAGAATGTATCATACGCGGTAAATAATAAAAGAATACGAAGTAATAGACTTTTTTTATTCCTAAATAAACAATAAAAAGAAAACAATTTAAATGTACCTGGGATTCTGCATACTTCTGTTTCCATCTCCTCCTCTGTTCTTGTGTTAGGTAACAAGACACCTGGGCAAGACCTCGAACAAACGTCAAGTTATAGAGTCCTTGAACCACACAGCCGTAGTATGCTGAAAACAGATATATCGACTTGTTAGTATCTTCCAAGGAAGAAACCATAAAACAGAGATGTCTACTCTGGATAGTAACTTCTGTAGTATACTGTAACAGAGATAGCTGCTGTTGTTAGTTACAACTGATATAGTAACTGTTACAGTTCCAACTGTCATATACTGTAACAGAGACAGTTGCTGTTGTTAGTTACATCTGATATAGTAACTGTTACAGTTCCAACTGTCATATACTGTAACAGAGACAGTTGCTGTTGTTAGTTACGTCTGATATAGTAACTGTTACAGTTTCAAATGTCATATACTGTAACAGAGACAGCTGCTATTGTTAGTTACGTCTGATATAGTAACTGTTACAGTTTCAACTGTCATATACTGTAACAGAGACAGCTGCTGTTGTTAGTTACAACTGATATAGTAACTGTTACAGTTCCAACTGTCATATACTGTAACAGACAGCTGCTGTTGTTAGTTACATCTGATATAGTAACTGTTACACTATCAACTGTCATATACTGTAACAGAGACAGCTGCTGTTGTTAGTTACATCTGATATAGTAACTGTTACACTTTCAACTGTCATGTACTGTAACAGAGACAGTTGTTGTTGTTAGTTACATCTGATATAGTAACTGTTACAGTTTCAACTGTCATGTACTGTAACAGAGACAGTTGTTGTTAGTTACATCTGATATAGTAACTGTTACACTTCCAACTGTCATGTACTGTAACAGAGACAGCTGCTGTTGTTAGTTACGTCTGATATAGTAACTGTTACTGTTTCAACTATCATATACTGTAACAGAGACAGCTGCTGTTGTTAGTTACGTCTGATATAGTAACTGTTACACTTTCAACTGTCATATACTGTAACAGAGACAGCTGCTGTTGTTAGTTACATCTGATATAGTAACTGTTACACTTTCAACTGTCTATACTGTAACAGAGACAGATGCTGTCGTTAGTTACATCTGATATAGCAACTGTTACACTTTCAACTGTCATACTGTAACAGAGACAGCTGCTGTTGTTAGTGATGTCTGATATAGTAACTGTTACACTTTCAACTGTCATATACTGTAACAGAGACAGTTGATGTTGTTAGTTATGTCTGATATAGTAACTGTTACACTTCCAACTGTCATGTACTGTAACAGAGACAGCTGCTGTTGTTAGTTACGTCTGATATAGTAACTGTTACTGTTTCAACTATCATATACTGTAACAGACAGCTGCTGTTGTTAGTTACATCTGATATAGTAACTGTTACACTTTCAACTGTCTATACTGTAACAGAGACAGATGCTGTCGTTAGTTACATCTGATATAGTAACTGTTACATTTTCAACTGTCATACTGTAACAGAGACAGCTGCTGTTGTTAGTGATGTCTGATATAGTAACTGATACACTTTCAACTGTCATATACTGTAACAGAGACAGATGTTGTCGTTAGTTACATCTGATATAATAACTTAGTTTCATGAGAAATAAAAAAAAGTAAAACAATTATAAGTAAGTTATTGAAAACAAGATATTATTAAAATTCCTACTATTCCACTTGAACACACATAATACTAATGATATTAACTGATCAAATTGGTTACTATCGAGTGTCACTTTCTTATGTGGTGTGAAAAAAAAAGGGTGGCCAATTAAAGGATTGAGCGTGACTTAAAGGAATCAAATCAAAATTGGCGGCCAAACTGGTAGCTACATTTATAGTATTGATATAAATTTTACAGCAAATATTCATTCCTTAGTTAGTTAGGCCATGTATCTTGTTTTACCCACCATCATGCCCAAAGTTGAAGTAGAGATTACACAAATAAAATTTGAGATTTATGAGATGACGAAAAGTATTTTGAATCTGAAAGTGGAAATCACTTTTTACTCTGACTCATAAAAAAGAATACTATACATATTTATGAATAAATCTTAACTAAACTATAACGAGTATAAAATGGTTACGAGGTCGGTCGATTCGACCCATCTTGTGGCAAAAAAGTTAAAATACAGCAAAATTCAAGTAAAGACTTTGGAATGGATAAGCCAGTTTTGTGTTTTCGTGATTTCATTTTACTACATTTATTTCCCAAAATTATTGCAAATTACGGTTATTCTTAAAAATTGATCACTTCTGCTAAAATTCCAAACTTAAGAATATTTTAAACATCTCTAATGCAATACATTAAGCTTGTGCACTGATGAGCATTTAAAAACAATGAAAGATTTATTCACTTCTCAGTCACCTTCTCTAGGCATGTTATTCAAATAGGTGCAAAACTTTCAATAAAAATCATATGAACTACAGATATTTTTTTATAATATTCTAAACAATTTAGTATTATTCTGCATATTCATAAGCACGTTTAAGACAGTGTTGTATCTATAACTAAGCTGTTATTGAATTGTTTTGTAACGAATCAAGGGAATTTTGCTCTAATGTAATTCATGAGAAGAAATTTACATGAAGTACCATGTTAAGATTATTTACTTTAATAAAACCTTATATTTTAATATGATACTCAGGAATGTTGAGAGCCAGCATGGGCCCTGGGCCAAACATCCTTGCCGGGTCCCCTTTCTCTCTCTTTTTTAACAGTTTCAAGAATTTATTAAAAAGAAGATCGTAAATTAGAACAGCAACGAGCTTATAAACCAGACAGAATCATAGTAGCAGCCGTTTTTACCTCACGGTATAAACGTAAAAACGTTAATAAAGTAACAACAAATATCTATTAAATCTATAAAGTAACAAATATCTATTAAATCTATAAAGTAACAAATATATATTAATTATTACTCAAATTATTATTTCAGTCGTTCTTAACGTATCAAGCGTCTATATGCAAAGAAAGCCAAAAACTATGGTTTTTATCATTAAATGAAGGTATAGCCTAAAGATGCCTTGTGGGCTTTAAGGTTTCATTTGCCCAGGCCCCTCGGCAGTTGTCTCCCTGGGAATGAAGTTCGCCCTGTGTGAAGCACTTTAATTACAAGACAGTTTACCTTGGTCAAAGTTTTGCAACACAATAACAACCGAGGGAATGAAATTCACCCTGCGAGAAGCACTTTACTTCCACGACAGTTTACCTAACCATTTGGCTATGCCGGACCTGGGATATTCAGAAGCTATTAAAAAAAAAGCAGGAAATACACTATCTTCTCATCAGTTGGAGAATGAAAGCCTACAGTTTCCACTGTATGCTCCATTGTGCCCCAATACATACTTAATATTACCTATCAGAAAAAAATCCTGCTTACCTTTGTCTACATTAAGAGGTAAAGTAAGAACAATCTGAAGAAGAATAGCAAGAGTATCTCTCAAGAACAATGGAACTTCCCTTTCCATGGGTGCAAGACTAGAAAAGAAGTTAATAGTTAAAATATATTAAAATTATGGTTCAACGTATCAAAGTAACTAATAATGTATTACATAACACTCAATAATCATCAACAAAACATCATCACAGTTACATTATACAATGGCACACTTACACATACGAAGAATTATTTATACATTAGTGGTTATCAATACAACACAAAACAGTTATTAACTTTCAATCAAAACAATTACCTGAACGTATTAGAACAAAACTAAAAAATTATCACGCATAGCTAATTGAATATACTCTTCATATATTTATATTTGTAAATAATGGAATGTATTGTTTAATCAGTTGGGTACGATCCCCGTTAATGGTATTTTTGGTCATACGTTAGGGTCATGGTCAGTAAACAGTACACTGTAAACTGAAAAAGTATTATTAAATAAAGCCAGATGTTTGGACAAGAAAAAACAACATATGACTAAACAATTAAGATACAGAAGTTAATGTATGCCTTTGACAATGTTACATACTTTTACAATGTGTTAACCTTTAAGTAACAACATCAAGGATACAAAGTGTCACAACTCTACATCTGAGATAAGCATTTTATTAACACTTGAGTCATTCAATCACTAGCCTACAATTCTTTTTTTTTATGTTGCAACATGAAATAAATACGAATATTTGTGATATTCAAGTACGAAAATAACTAGTTTCATGTTATAATAGAAAGTAAAAACAAATTTGTGTGTGTTTATCAACAAAATAAACTTTCTAACTCAGGAATTTCCACGGCTGCAACTACCTTGAAAGATGATCCTCGACTGACAATCCTGTCAGTTGTGACCACACCTGGGCATACGGCAGTGGAGTAGACATTTTGGCATTAAGGGCCAACACATGGAAAAGAGGGACTGTAATCAAAACACACAATATTTAATGTCCAAACAGGCTTGTCTCATGTCTGTAATTTAATAAGAAACTGCCAAGATCATACAACATAATGATACTTAGGTGTTTATTAAATACACTAAGAGAACTTTTAGCTAAGAGTCAAATAGAAACTTTATTTTTTATTAAATATACTAATAGAAGTTGTAGCCAAGAGTCAAATATAAACTTTATTTTTTATTAAATATACTAATAGAAGCTTTTAGCCAAGAGTCAAATAGAAACTTTATTTTTTATTAAATATACTAATAGAAGTTTTAGCCAAGAGTCAAATATAAACTTTAATTTTTTATTAAATATACCAATAGAAGTTTTAGCCAAGAGTCAAATAGAAACTTTATTTTTTTATTAAATATACTAATAGAAGTTGTAGCCAAGAGTCAAATATAAACTTTATTTTTTTTATTAAATATACTAATAGAAGTTTTGCAAAATGCGGTTAAAGCTAGAGGAATATCAAAAGTAGAACTTATCAACTTTCATACAAATTTATCATGAACTGGTATGAAACTAAACAAAATATGTACTAATACATATTACTGAATACAGCAAATAATCATGGATACAAACATATCAATATCGTGGATATAAAATACTGGTAGATATAAAGAATTACTAAGTTCACAATAGTGATAAAAAAAACAGTAACATTCATGCAGCAGTTATCATTACAACATGTGCCAACAATCTATGAATGAGAAAACACTGAAAACATATTTCAATTTATTATAACACATTTCAATATTACAACTTTGTTATAAAGTTTAGAGTTTTGACAGAACGTCAGAAATGTTGACTGTGAACCTTGATAAGTGCAGAGAGTTTGAAAGGTAGCAGAAGTTATCCAAAAATCTCTGTGGGAGTACACAGGATGATAACTGTTGTCTATTAACTCTCACGCTACAGACTTGGTCGATTCAGCTCCCAAATTTATCTTTAGAGAGTTTCCATACTCAGTTGGCAAATCTGTAGCTCACCTTACCCTACCAAATTACATAATACATGGGCTACTCGTGAGCATATAGACCTCTTTTTGTTGGTGCTTAACTATTGTTTTTATGTATTTCACACAACTGTATATACCCCTGTATTTGTTGTTGTTTAATTCTCATTTTTTCAACCATTTCACATAATCATACATGCCCTTGGAATTGATATTAAACTCTCATTTTGAGCCATTTTGCACAATTGTAAAAGCCCCTGTAGTTGATTTCAACTCTTGGTTTTACTACATACCCCTGTGGTGGATGGTCATCTCTTGGTTTTATCCATTTCATACAATTCTACATATTCTTGTAGTTGATGTTTAACTCTTGGTTTTATCCATTTCATACAATTGTACGTATTCTTGTAGTTGATGTTTAACTCTTGGTTTTATCCATTTCATACAATTGTACATATTATTGTAGTTGATGTTCAACTCTTGGTTTTATCCATTTCATACAATTCTACGTATTCTTGTAGTTGATGTTTAACTTTTGGTTTTATCTATGTCACACAATCATGTTTACCCTCGGTTCTACGTCATTTTACTGCTGGAGAAAGGATGCAGTAATTAATTATTTCATTTTAAGGTTTAGAAATGTATAAAAATTATATTATTGGAATATTATAAAAGCAACCTTTATCATGTTCAAACACCTTGAACACTAAAATTACGTCATAAAAGCTTTACCCGTGCAAACATAAATAACAGTGATTATATTTGCTATATAATGATAGCCTTTTTTCCCAGCAAATTATTCAATTTCATTATTAATCAAGTTTAGTGCGATAGTTTATTAGTTCATTGTAATTTTTTTAGAATAAAGTCATTCACTGTGCTAGGAAATGTTTGAGAACATAATTATTTGTCAGCACTAAAATGTCATGATATCCTTACCCTCACAGCTGATGTTGAAACCTTGGTTTCATTCATGTCACACAACTGTACATACCCCTGTAGATGTTTAACTTTCATTAAGTTACACAAGTATAATTAATTTTGTTCTTAATCCATTATTAAATGTAAAAAAAACCCATAAACTAATGTGTTTTTTACAATATTGTATCGCTGGTAATGATAGTTGATCTAATTAGCCATTCATGTAAAAGCTACAAAAGGGGCCATCTGCACCAGATATCTGTGATTAAAATGATACAGTAGAGGGAAGGCTGCTAGTTAACAACCAACTATTGCTTTACTGATCACACAATGAGATTTCACAGTAATTCTTATAATGCAACCACAGACTCGCTTATGAAGTGCAATTTTGCCACAATGGGACAGTAACCTTGGACCCTAGGATCCACAGATTTGTAAACTTATTTCTAGGCCATACTGAGTGATAAAAAGAGAATATCAGGCAAAAAAAAACCAGCAGAAATAAAGAAAAAATCAAAACTTAGCAGCTACAAAGGGTTTGATAAAAGTTTGTATCATCACTACTGATCTAATCTTCAGTGTAATAGTTAGCAGTTCTTATCTACTGACTGTTCACCAACAATAGTAACAACAATCATAGACTTATTTTTAACACTGAGGAATAGTACATTACTTTTAGTTGAGCATATGCACATGGTGTGAAACTCACCAAAACATGATTTTTTTGGAGGTTGAATGGAGGACAGAGTACCTCCTCGGTAAACCAGTTCACATTCAAGATTGGTTCTGAAAAAAAATTAATACAGAAAGTGAAAAAGATTATTAGTTTTTTTGTTGTTGTTAAATAAATAGCTAAACAAAATTTATAATCTCAGATATAGTGAAAAACTAAGTCTGTATGTTCACAAAGGTGAATTTAGGTTTTTACTTCTGGAAAAATCAAAGGTTTAGAAAGGAAAACTTCAAGGTGAATTAATCTTTAGAAATTTGTATCAAAGCTATCAAACCACAATACTATTATTAACAACAAACACAATATTCTGATACTCTATTCATGAATGGTAAGAGATACTGGTGACAAATGTATCCACCTTTTACAATTCTTGGTTTCTACTTGAACAAGTTTCTTTAGGAAACACTTTTACTTCAAAAGATGTAACTAGTGTTTTTAACCCAGCTTCCTCAATAACTGAGCTATGATTACGAGGCAACCTGAAGTCAAAGTTTTAAAGTGCTTCCCAATTAGTTAAGAGGACCGAGAGTCTGTATAACTTTTAATAATGTTCCAGTCGTTCTTGATAATGTTTTTGTGTTATATCTGTTTGAAAGTAAAAGGAATATTCTTCTATGACAAGACATCGAGGAAGTATATTAGATTTAGCAAGTTAAGACTTGTGATGAGAAATATTGAGATGACACAAATCATTTTTTTAATAAATAAGTTGTTTTTTATCTAAATTTATCTCCACCAAAAATATTGATGACAACATACAATGTCTGTTGAAAGGTGAAATCACTAGTTAATGACGTAGTAGTTGAATGAAGCAAAATACAGTATTAAAATAAACTTAATGATAAATATCAAACAAGATAAAACTGAGTGAATATATAAGATGGAACTTTCCAAATCACATATTAAAAAAATACAAGTCTAAAATAAAAGCATTTTTAGGTTATTTTTTCAAATCATTATTTCATAATAAAATGTTGGAAATTTCACAACCTAAATAAATAAATATTAAATAGAAATTCATCAAATTTTTCATGCTGAACCTAGGGCTCCATTTAATTCGTTGACTGTGGCTGCTTTAAACATGTGCAGAATTTTTGCAAGCTCGACACTGTATACAGCACACAACTGCCGGAGGTGGACTGTACCCTGGTCAATGGGTAAAAAGGTTTGTCCGTAGTTATATGCAATTTTATGTATTTCCACTGTGAAGATGTAAAACATGGTTATTAAAAGTTTAAGAAAAGGTTAGCCTTTTTAAATGGATGAGACAAATACAAGGGTAACTTACCGGGCAATAGAGCAAATAAATAGGAAGAGGCTATGCGAGTTAGGAGAAGAATACTTGGATCTAAACTGTGCATAGGTGCTGTTTGTGAGGTCTTCTACAATATTGGCCATTGCTTTTCTAATAGAAGAAACCTGTGGAAAAACCATGTGTGACACATTAGGTTCAAGAAATAAGTTTCAGGGGTTTATTCCAATGAAGTAGCTAATCCAGAAAAAAATTCCCAATATTACTCGGTTATAGGAAAATACAAGGCATAACATTACAGCCAATCAGTTGCTGTGAATTGAACCTTTTTCTTTTGCATGAACACTTATACTTGCTCAAGTACTTTTGTGACTAAAAGACAAACAGTTACTTTTCTTAGTAATTTACTATTATAATGTGATTTATCTCAATAAATGTGAAATCATGTCGAAACTGTGATAAAAATAATGCTGGCAGTTAAGAGATTTTGACCAAGTAAAACTTGCGACACATTCATCCTGCTAGTAAGTTTGATTATATATACAGTAACATAATGTGTAGTTTGAATAATCAGTGACTTAAAAGGAAGATGTCCACATGTAGAGTAGAAAATTTGAATCTCATAACTCAGTTTCTAATGTAAACAAATTTTTTTTTATGCTTCTAAAACAGAAATTTTACTAACAAAATTAAATTCTTAACTGCCACTATTATATACCGGATATCTGAATAAAAAGAAACTTCCTAACAAATCAACAATATTATTAATTTAACCACACACACACATTAAGCAGTAATACATTTGACAGGTGTATTGTGTAAACTATTTCAGTTTGAAGCTGGGTGATTAGTGATATTTGCTATTTTTTAACTAATTATCCCTGTCAATTGATTAGTACAGTGTTTCTCCAACCATTACTTACAAGGAGAGCAACTTTGAAGGCAATATTTAGATTGATTTTTGGAATAACTGAAAACAGCAATACCAATTAATCAATGTTATCACAGAGACATGATGGAGTGATCTACAAATATATTTAATGACAGAGACATGATTGAGTGATCTACAAATATATTTAATGACAGAGACATGATGCAGTGATCTAAAAATATATTTAATGACAGAGACATGACGGAGTGATCTACAAATACATTTAATGACAGAGACATGATGGAGTGATCTATAAATATATTTAATGACAGAGACATGATGGAGTGATCTACAAATACATTTAATGACAGAGACATGATGCAGTGATCTACAAATACATTTAATGACAGAGACATGATGCAGTGATCTACAA